GATTGGTGTGTACTAGGTTTTTTCTGCTTTGAAATTTAATGTAGAGTGATATTTAATTTTAATTGCTGTACTATCTTAGAAGCTTTTATGAAATAAGGGGACACTTTCAACTGTGTTTGAGAAAGCCATGAAGTTTTCCATTTCTGTCTAAATTGGTATAAAATAGTATATTTAAATGTGTATATCAGTATGATGGAATATTCTTTCCCATTCTCTTATTTGCATGCTTTATGAAACCTTGTAGATAACCTCAGTTTAAACTTCTCTGTATCTTACTCTTGTCAGCTCTTTTCTTGACAGAAACAAGCAATTAAATATTACCAGGTCTAGACTTTATAGCTATTAAACTGCTTCATTCAAAAAAATATAGCAAAGTAAAATTCAAAGGTTAGTTTTTAAAGTAATTTTGTAGCCGAAATCTTTGAAAGGAAAAAAGAGTTTATTGTTTGCCTACTCAATTCTGTTTTAAAAACAATGGCAAAATATTGCAGAAGTGAGCGGGCTCTCAAATGGTTCAGAAATTTTTATTCTGGGTGAGTAATTCAGTTCAGTGGTGAGGTGTTTCTGCTCAGATAGATTCATGGTGGGACAGAGATCCAGTGTTGATTTAATGTTTTCATATTCCTGTGTACACATCCTCTTTTATTCTTATTTTATCATAACTTTTGCTAAATAACTTGGAATTGCTGTCTTTACTATTTACATAACTTAAGTGTGACTTTGTACCTCAAGAAAATGCAGAATTTGTTTTATCTTTTATTTTAATTAATTAATGTATGTTGATTTTGAAAATAATAGAATAACTTTTTTTTCACAAATTATCTTGAGCTTTTCTCTCAACAGAGGATCACAGGCTTTAAAATTTTTCAACACACATCAGTTAAAATGCCAGTTACAAAGACATCCGGACTGTGCAAACGTGAAGCAGTGGAAGGGTGGACCTGTCAAGATTGACCCCCTGGCTTTGGTACAAGCTATTGAGAGATACCTTGTAGTTAGAGGTACTTTCTATATGTTTATTGTGTGTTTATATGTACATTTGGGGTGAAATTGCTGTTAAGGGATTATATATATGTATTTCCCTATTAA